TTCATCTCTGAGAGGTAATTTGATTTACCTGTTGTATGTTTACAGAAAGCAAAAGTAGCATTCCCAACCACTTACCCCTTGAGTCATAACTTTTAACAAAAAGGACTGTAATTATAGCAGGAATACACTGTGTGTCTGTAGGAGTAGATTTCCAGGCCTTTCTTCCTAGTCTTAGTCTGGAAGCTCCACTGAAACCTGTCAACCTATGGGTGATCCTGCTGGTATTTGAAATACTAGTGGCATATCTTCCAGCATCACAGCAACACACAAGCTACCACAGTACAACAAACTGACAGATGGGTGGGTGGTGGTTATCCAATATAAAATCACTTAATCTAGTCCACATACCCAGACAAAACTTTTTATTAGTTTGCATTCCACACTCATGCATATTTTTTAGGAGAAAGGGTGGAAATCACAGTACCTTTATTTCCAGGTAGGTGCCTGCAATGGTCCGTGGATGTACCCTCTCTTCCTGCTGGTCGATGAGGCTGTCACTGTACTTTGCATCATATACAAGGCTCTTATCAGAATGAGGTTCAAAACACCTGGCCAGAGACTTGATCTTCAAGCAAGTAAACATTACAACCTTGGAAACCCTATGAGGCAGTTCTACTTTGTCCTATAGGGTCACTATGAGTCGGAATTGACTTGAAGGCAACAGGTTTGGGGTTTTTTTTGTTTTTTGTTTGTTTTATGGTAAGGGTGGCTCTATGCAGATTTGATAATCCTACTGTGTTAAGCCTAGATGTGATTATTTACATGTTGACACTTTCTGGCCATAGGTTACACAAATAAGTAAATTATATAGAGGATTTAGTATTTTAGTGCTTCTAAGTTTTGGCGGGCCTCAGTGGTGTGTAGATAGCCCTCATTTGTTGATATTGATAAATGGCTGTAGCCAGAACTGAGACTTCAAACCAAAATTATACTCATTCACTTGACACCATGTCACCAAATTGCTCATGAAATGACTTTGGAATATTTCAGATATTTTCAGGTGATTCTGAAAAAAAAAAAAAGAAACTTCAGAAGTTTATATAACCTGGAATGGATTGCAAATAGTTTTGATTAAGAAATTCCAGATGGTCTGAATCAGTAACTGTGGTTCCTTTTCTGTGAAGGAAGCATCTGGCACAGTTATAGCAGCAAATTCTCAAGGGGAGGGCACTTTCTATCCAACCCTGCCAGGTCAGGTAATAATGGCTGCTGCTTATAGGCGCTACTATGTTCAGATCCTGTATATGCATTATATTTACTTCTCACAACAACCTAGCAAGGAGGATGCTATTAACCCCATTTATATTCAAGAAAACTGAGGTCCAGCAAGGTAAGACACTTATCTAAACAAGCACAGCCAGAAAACATCAGCATTAATGATGCTGTTGAGTCACCGCCTACTCATGGTGACCCCATACACATAGCGGAAAGAAACACTGCTGAGCCTTTCCCATGAGCAGGTGTGGATGAGACTGTTGTGATTCATAGGGTTTTCACTGGCTGATTTTCAGAAGTAGATGTCAGGCCTTTCTTCCTAGTCCGTTTTAGTCTGGAAGCTTTGCTGAAACCTGTTAGCATCATAGCAACACTCGAGCCCCTACTAATAGATGAGTGGTGCTTGAGGTGCATTAGCCAGGAATCAAACCCACGTCTCCTGCATGGAGGGTGAGAATTCCACCACTGAACCACCACTGCCCCTACCCCCACCCTGCGTTAATGTTGAGCTCTGTCTTAGTCATCTCGTGCTGCTATAACAGAAATACCACAAGTGGATGGCTTTAACAAAGAGGAATTTATTTTCTCACAGTCTAGTAGGCTAGAAGTCCAAATTCAGGGCATCAGCTCTGGGGGAAGGCTTTCTCTCTCTGTTTCCTCTGGAGGAAGGTCCTTATCATCAATCTTCCCCTGGACTAGGAGCTTCTCTGCACAGGAACCCCATATCCAAAGGACACGCTCTGCTCCTGGTGCTTTTTTCTTGGTGGTGTGATGTCCCCAACTCTCTGTTTGCTTCCCTTTCCTTTTATCTCTTGTAAGATAAAAAGGTGGTGCAGGCCACACCCCAGGGAAACTCCCTTTACTTTAGATCAGGGATGTGACGTGAGCAAGGGTGTTACATTCCACCTTAATCCTCTTTAACCACAGGCAGAGGTTATGATTTATAACATATAGGAAAATGACAAAATGGAGGACAACCACACAATACTGGGAATCATGGCCTAACCAAGTTGACACATATTTTTGGGGGACACAATTCAATCCATGACAAGCTCACATTACTTCAAAGCTCCATGGTAACCTGGGCACCTAACTTTGCTGAGCCACCAATACCACCCAACACACTTTCCTTAACCATGATTTCATCTTATTGCTTCCCAGCAACCACCATGCCCCAATGCTCCTTACCTTTGATCAGTTTCTGTACTTACTTAGGCATGCAGTGGCAACCAGTTTGAATTGACCACTTGTCCTGAGCTGGCTTATGAGATGAAACGTATTTCCCTTTCCTCCCAACTCTACTCCCCTGTACTGTGTCCTTATTCTTTCATGGGTTGAAGTCTTGTTTCTCATATTCTGTGAGGTCAGAGATGGCAAACTAAATTTCTTATCTCTTTTCCACATGGAGGCTATACAAGCCACTTAGTAAAACTTAAACACTTCCCAAATTGAATTGGATTGGACATCTCAAAGAATAGAAGATGAATGACAACTCCCCTGTTCTGTTCAATCTTGTGTAATCAGTCTTGGGTCATCTGAGAGACAGCAAGATATTGGGATATAACCCTGGAAAAGGTTCTCTGGCTTTTTTGTTTATTTGTTTATTTATATGTAAGATGAGAGGATGGAACTAAAATCAGTATTTTTCGATCTTTCACGTGCACACAAGTCACCTGGGAACATTATTAAAATGCAGATTCTGATTTAGGAGGTCTGGGGCAGGGCCTGAGATCCTGCATTTCTAACCAGCTCCCAGGTGATGCAGAAGTTGCTGGTCCAGGGATGACACTTTGCATTCAGAGAGGCTAGATGCAAATTGACCCCCGGAGACTGAAACCAATCAGTGACCTCCAAACACCTGGATGGGATCAGCCCTGGGTGGGGGGAGGTGACTAGGGCAAAAGTTAAGAGGGAATTCTGCAGCCTGAGGCCCCATGCAGCTGGAACAAGACTGGATACAGGGGGCCGGCCAGATGGGGGCATTGGGCAGACTGAAGGCACAATGGGTGCTGGGTGTCTGGAGGGGTAGGGATGGGGGGGTGGGGGACAGGGTGCCTGGAATCGGGATGCCTGCAAGGGAGAGACAGATAGAAAAGGAGGTGAGATAAATGCCTCTTACTTTAAAATTTTGTTAAGAGTTCTAAATGCTGACTGAAATCTCTTGTGGAAAAAAGTGAGATAGAAACAAACCCTTGAGATTTGTTTGTGTTTTTTGTTAGTTTTGTTTTTGTACCATTTTATTTGACCAACTACATAAGAATTTGGCAAAAACATATTCACCCAAAGTCACAGTGGACACAGCTGAAAAATAACCCAGAGGCCCCGTTCTCCAGCATGCCCTAAATGTTCTCTTCTTCTTGCTTATGGGATGACCAGACCACAGAAAACTAAACAACAAGCTCTATTCCCATGCCCCTCCCCAAACTTTCTATACCCCAAGGTAGAAAATGTTAATAATAATTTAAAAAACTCAGAAAAGGTGAAGCTTTTCTTAGCACAGTACAGGCTTTTTAATTACATGTAAACAAACAAAACCCCATGAATGCATCAAAATAATTGCATTAGTGATATATAATAAAAGCAGATGTCCAGTTAAATATAGAAAACTTGTGAGCCCTTTAGGACTGAAAAAATCTGCCTGCCCTCACCAGATTTCTTCATACATCACACTCGACTAGAGAAATTGGCACAGGAAAAGGAAATTCAAAATTGAAATAGGAATAGAGAAAATAACCCCCAGGCTTTTTTTGCTGAGTCTTTTGATGACTTGAAGCTTGAATGATACCTAAGTGACCCTTCTCCCCTGGCTGTCGAGTCCATAGAAGAGTAGAACTGCCCCACAGGGTTTCCAAGGCTATAATCTTTACAAAGGAGCCCTGGTGGTGCAGTAATTAAACGCTTGGCTGCTAACCAAAAGATTGGCAGTTTGAGTCCACCAGCCAGCCGCTCCTTGGAAACCCTGTGGGGACAGTTCTACTCCGTCCTGTAGGGTCAGTATGAGTTGGAATCGACTCAACAGCAACGGGTTTGGTTTATTTTGGTTAATCTTTATGGAAGCAAACTGCCGCATCTTTCTCCCCTGGAGCAGCTGATGGGTTTGAACTGCCAACCTTCTGGCTAACAGCTGAGCACTTAACCACTGTACTACCAGGGCTCCTTTACTCAAGGAAAGGTACATTTTAAGGGGAAAATATTCCATTAAAAATATTTCCATACCTCTCCCCAAATATATATACAAATACTTATATAAAATTTTGGGAGAGTAAATTGATTATTTAGAAGGCAAAGTTATTCAATTGAAATGATTTGTGAAACTTTTTTAAAAGAGAAAGTTAGAGGCATAAACAAAACACCAATGCAGCCAAACAGCTCCTTCTATTCCCCTACAGCTGCACATTCCAAAGGCATCAATATTAAAAGTAACAACAATGGTAGACAATCCTTGATGATACAGTACCTTTAGGTATACTAACACTCCAACTGGCCAGAGACTCCATCATTGTCCATAGGTAAGACCTGAGGCCTACCAAGTTTATATATAAGGAGTCAAAGAGCTGGTAAGGACTACTATTTAGAAGTAACTATAAATAAACCCATCTTCTTTGTGTATTCCCATATAAAAGAAGATTCTGTAGGCTGAAAAATAATTCACTGGTCTCAGTTGCCCCAGCTTGTGAGATCAGTTCAGCAGAAAGCAAAAGACTGAGTTGAGCTTCCTCCTACCTGTACCTCCAGCCCCAAGTAAAGTAATAGACTCTTAAAGCAAAAGCTAGAAATTAGGGGCCTGAGTTTTTCGGTTATTTTTGTTTTTTCTTTATTTCTGGTTTTCTCTTTCTTGCTGCCATTTTGACTAATTTTCTACTCGCAGAAGAAGTCAATATCCTGGTGGGGGGAAAAAAAGATTGACCTGAGTAGGCAGAGCCACACAACAGATGTAGGTTTTATTTATTTAAAATTGTGCTTAATCAAAAAGAAATTTGGATTAAAAATAAATGATGGCTGAACTCCAAAGAGTATGAAATAATTATTACTTTAAGTAAAAAATGACTTAAAATACAGGTTCTCAAATAAACTTATAATTAATGGCTATTTGACAGATTCAAGCATAATGCTAAAAAGCAAAGACAAGTGAGTCGCATTTGTGTAGGTTGGGCAATGTTTTGAAGCTATTTAGTATAGCAATTAGCTCCAGGAGAACGACTTCCACCTTTCAAAGCAACCGCCTTGTAAGGCAGCTCAAAGATGATCTTTTATTTCTTGGACCACGGGGTGTTAGAAAGAGTATGATTTTATTTCATACATAAGTAGAGTCTATCTACCACAAAAATAAGGCATTCAAAGATTTTTCTAAAATGCTCTAATTTTATCCAATACAGGTGCTATTATTTTTCCCCAACCCAAGTCTTTATGAAATAAGTATAACCATCAGTAAGAGTCAGTATTATTTTAGATTTTTTCTTTGTGTCTTGGATCCTTTCCAGGATAACTTGCACCTAAAACAAAAGGGGTAGACAGTGTGGAGAAAGCTCACTAATATTTTTCAGTAAGTATAAATGCTCCTCCAAACCTCATTATTTCAGAAGTTTTCATTGGAATTTGGGGGCTTTGATCTATCTTGGAAGGTGCATGAAGCATTTTTAACACTAGCTCACATTGCTCCAAGGTCTGAGTTCTCCTCAGCCACATCTGAGAGGCTTACCGTGGTAGGAACTTCCTTGGTGGCTTCCTTGTATACATGTTGCTCATGCACCAATGTACTGGGGAAATAGCCCATGATTCCCATCTCATCTTCATGACCATCACCATAGACCTGAGTGCCCAAAACAGTAATAGAGGAAAGCTGACATTAAGTCTTCTTGTGAAAAACTCTTGTGCACTCCTCTTTGCTGAGAATGAGAATTATTACATAACTGGCAATGCCTCCCTTTTCACTCCGGATTCCAGACGGCTCAGAGCCAATTTTGAAGTTCAATTATAGCAACTAAGTTCACACATAGGAATTCTGTATCTATTCTTTTGTGGCCCAGTCTTAACTTGTCTCACTATTTGATCATTATTTTATGCAAGAGTCCCTGGGTAGTGCAAGTGGTTAATGGGCTTGGCTGCTATCTGAAAGGATGGAGGGTCGAGTCCACCCAGCGGCACCTCAGAAGAAAGACTTGGCAATCTACTTCTGAAAAATCAGCCATTGAAAATCCTGTGGAGCACAGTTCTACTCTGACACGCACTGGGTCAACATGAGTCTGAATGGACTCAACAGCAACTGGTACTGGGTTTTATTTTATACAATCTTGTGAGTTGCCTGAAATCTTTTTGAAACCTATATATAAATACAGTAAACAAGTTTAAAAAAAAAAGTAAACAGATAACTTTTATATTAAAGGACTCATATTTTTCAGATTTCATAAAATTCAAATGAACACATACTTAAGTGAGTTAAGTGAGTTTAATTCTTCATGACCCGAGAACCTACCTTTGGGGCTGCAGGCAAGGGCAGTAAATTAACTGTCTTATCCCTCTCGAGGTTTCCTCTCTTCTTGTATGTTTTAACTGAAGGAAGCAGACTCTTTGGAATTAAATAAGGAGCTAAAGTTTCCTAAAAGAATATAGAAACTTACACTGACTGCCAACACAAACATCTTTTACCTGGCAAATCCTCTCAAACATTTTTAAATAAGTTTCAAACTGCTCAGGATATTCAGCCCCAATGTGTTTGACCTGTTTTTCTTGACAGAACATCACAGTAACCTACATTTGGTTTTGTTAACAAACTATCTTTGTTTCTTCAAAATGCAATAGTGGCACAAATACATGATTTTTTGCATTTGCATCTATAATCTCTATATTTTTTTTACCAGTTTGTTTTAAAAATTGAAATGCTTTTAAGATAGGTAACAGAGGAAATACAAGAGCAACATGTATCAAGATGTGTATATATTTTTAATAATCGTCTCTTACACTGCCAGCCCAAAATTCTCCAGCTTCGTTTTCTTTCACCAGCTTTGAATAAACATAAATCTGCTGCCCTTTCTTAACGTTAATGAATCTACAGTCTGGAGCATTGTAATCTTCTTGAGCTCTGGCCAGAGAAATAGTATCTGTTAGGAAAAAAAAAAAAAAGGAAATGACTACATTTTAGGCTCCTGAATTTTATAATATTAGTAAAAAGGCAAAACATATCAGAAAACTCAAAAATCAGAGTGACTCATACCTCACAGTACATGGCTCATGTTCAACTCAAGAAGAGTAAGATAACCAAGGTTTTAAAGCTACATCTGACAAAATCCTAGCCATGCAAATTCTCCAAATAAAGAAACATACACACTGGAGAATATTCATTTCAAAGTAAAATTAGATTCTATGCTGTTAGTGAATATATTTTCAATTGTATAATAGAAAGATAAGGAGAAAGGCATAAAAAAATACTTACAGACACACTCGTCATCTGCACAGAGCTTCTTGGAAGCAAGCCTGTCCATAAATATTCCATGCACAGTCCATATGGCTACAAGACCTGGGAGGAAAAGTAAAAATATTCTTGCCATCTTCCTTTTTTGGTTGTTTTTGCTAGCACCTTTTGACTAGAAGTGGGGACTGACTTTAGTGGTTCCTTCCTTTTATGTGAAAGCTGGACATCTGGGTAGATGCCCTTGGCCAGTGGGAAGGTGTCCACCTCCCTCTGCTTTCCTAACTGTCCACTGACTCCAGGGGCTATTTAGCATCTGCTTTTCCAAAGAGAATCAAATACCATGTCTTTTATACACGAATGCTATTCCAAATGGACCACTGTTGTTAAAGCCACTTCAGCTGTGGCTTATTTCATCAACTAATAGTGCATCGGTAAAAAGACCCTGAGATTTTAAAATCATTCTTTATTTTCTAGTTCAACCCTCATTTTCTTTCAACTTAGAAGCAAAGATGTGCTAACTGCAGAAATCTATTGAAACTCTAATATTTATATCTTTAGTGCGAATAATTTTGATTTAAGCAAATCTAATTAATACACGTATAAATTTATATAATAGATAAATAAAAGGATTCTTACAAATCTTTCATGATAGGATTCTTAGAAGTAGGGATGGATTGTAACACTAGTTGATGGCACCTCTAGATTCTACTCTCGGGGAAAGGGAGGAATGGGTGGGCTGTGAGAACTAAGCAAATATTTTCTTACCCCCTCTCTGAGACTTTTGAAATTCAATCTCAAAATACTCACGGATCATGTAGCAGGTAGTGAAGTTAAGGTCTGTGTCATTCCCCCCTTCCCTGTTTCCAGCATCTTTCCTATGGAGAGAGGGACACTCCTAGAAGTCACCAAACTTGAAGTGCCATCTATTTCAACAAATATTTACTGAGCATCTGCTATGTGCCAGGCAATGTTTCCGGCACTAGGGAGACAGCAGTGAACAAAACTAAGTCCCTGCCCCTCAAGGATTCACTATTAGAGAAGACAGACAATAGGTTGCTGGTTTTTACAGGGTGTCTGGGGCTGGTAGCTCTCATAAGGTGGCCCTTCCCTTGATTGTTTCTAGAATAGAGGTCCCTGTCATGACACCCTGTCCATTTTGCTTGGCCATAGGGCTTCAGAGCAATACTGTAAATGTGGTCACCCACAAAATGAGGGACAAGCATTGGTTTACAAAGTAATTATACACAGTGATACAAGAGGTAAATTGGTAAAGCAAAATTTAGTTATAGCATAACAAGAGGTTTGTTGTTTTGGTGTTTTTGGTGTGTGTTTCGTGCGTGTGTGCGCATGCGTGTGTGTGTGCATGCGTGTGTGTTATTTTCAGAGGAGGATCTTTTATACAGTTGGTCCTGATTTGGAAGCTCATTTTATTCAATACCTTCATTACAGATAAGGAAACTGAGGCCCAGCAAAGGCCAGAGGTGCCTTACTTAGCCCCCCTATCTAAAGGTTATCCAGTGGGATTAGTTACAGTACTGTTTCCATTAATCCACTGTCAAATTAGAATTGAGATTTTAAATCTTTTAGTTTCTGCTTCACTTCAAGGTAGAAATATTTTTTAAAGCCAAATGCCTGTGCAATTTTCCTTCCTATAATCTGGGAACATACAAGAATCTCTCTGGGAAAATGAAAGCGTTGGTTAAATCGTCTTAGTCCTGATCTGGCAGCTGTTTTACAGACTGTCACAGTCTCAAACCAGCCCTCAGCACAGGAGAGTTAGAAGACAATTGAGTTTAAGAGGCACTTTAAGAAATGTGGCTGCGCACAACTCAGATTGTCATGCTGCGTATAGGCCCCTCAAGGCCAGCACAACAACCTAGCAAAGAAAGGCTAATGCTCACAGGATGACTTCTCAACCATTTGAAGGCAGAGACATAAGAAAAGCATTGCCTTCTGAGCACCTGGGGCAGGCCTGGGGTGTCCCAGCGTCTGCTGTGGGTAGAGACAGGATGCAGACAAGAAGCCCTTGGGAACATTTTACTTGCAAATAGGAGTTTAAACTTGGAATTCCAGCTCTGCTTAAGTCTGCAGTCGCTGGGGTGCAGAGAAGGGCTCTGTCCCAAGCTTGCTCATCTCCTCCCTCTGCACAGGGACCTCGTACCACCAAGAAAGAAGCGTTGGAAGCGGAGCGTGTCCTTTGGACCTGGGATCCCTGAGAAGCTCCTAGACCGGGGAAGACTGAAGACAAGGACCTTTCCCCAGAGTTGACAGAAAGAAAGCCTTCTCCGGGAGCTGGCACCCTGAATTCGGACTTCTAGCCTCCTAGACTGTGAGAGAATAAACTTCTGTTTGTTAAAGCCGTCCACTTGTGGTCTATCTGTTATAGCAGCACTAGATAACTAAGACAGGAAGCTTTCAACGTAGGCAAATCACCACCAAGAAAACAAACAACGAATATCAGATAGTGACGTGCACTGGGATAGCACACCATGGTGATGTGATAGGGTGACTGGGCTGGAGGAGTGTAGGGAGCGGCTGTGTGAAATTGGACTGTGTTGCGGCATCTTGGCCAGACACCTGAATACCAGAATCTGGGGGAAAGACTTCCAGGTGGTAAACTCAACGGGCCAAAGACAGAAATGGGTTTAGCATTTTCAGAAGACAGAGCAAGTGAGAGAGAACTGAGGTGAGGTCAGAGAGGTCAAAGGGTCAGCTCAGGCAGGACGTTGGGGTTCGTAGCAAGGCTGCTGCTCCCACCCACCCATCTGTACAAGCCTTTTCTTAGACCCTAAGTTAAGGCCATAGCCTCCATTTTAAGAACACCTGCCTGAGGAACTAGTTTAGGAACTGAAGGGGAAAATTGTCTTTTGGGGGTTATAGGCCCAGAAAATACCTCTGGAAGTCCAGAGGGAGGAGGTGAGCAAGCTTGGGACAGAGCCCTTCTCTGCACCCAGCGACTGCAGTCTTAGAGTAGAGCTGCTGTGCACAAATGCTTGCTGAGGAATTCCAAGTTTAACCTCCTATTTGCAAGTAAAATGTTCCCAAGGGCTTCTTGTCTGCATCTGGTCTCTGCTGGCAACAGATGCTGGGACACCCCAGGCCAGGCTATCTACTCACTTGCTCCCTTTAACTTCCAGTGCTGGAAAGGGGTTCTCTTGATGGACACTGACATTTCCTGCCTGGATGCATCCAGTGACAAACTGCTTGTGCACAGTTCAAAAAACAGAAGTTTCCTTTCTTTTTTCTCCTCCTCTCAGCAGTTCTGTGTGGATCTGCATTTCTTTCAAATGCAAATTTGCTGTTCCTAAAGTTTATGAGTGGGGCTCAGGCTTTCAGCCTAAGCCCCTAATACTTTATACACAGGCCTACTGCATTGAAATGAACCTGTGTTTCTTTTTTGGGCAAATTTTAGTTCTCCTTTTAGCACATCCAATCAAGTATTGGCTGAAGGCAGAGTTATATGGTCTCTGCTTTTTATAATACCCAACATTCATTTCCATCATACATTTAGGTTTGTTTTACAACACCAGGTAGGAGAAACATTCCTTTAGTCAGTACATTCAGATAAACACATAACCCTTTTTAAACATTCTGGTTTCATTTTCTCTACCCGCTTGATTCTCTTCTCATTCATATGCATATGGCTTTGGGCCTCTGGCTGGGTAGAACCAGAAGACCCTTGCTTAACCTGCAGAGCTTTCACCCCAAGCCACTAGAGATGCAGCCTTCCTATTCTCAGTTTCCCTATCTGCTGCTCCAGCGTAAGATCATTTACTTTCCTTTTAGCCATTACAGATAACAACCACCAAAGTAACCATCCAAAAATCAAAAGTTTCACTTGCCATGCCCTTTCACCCTTTCTCTTCCTAAGTTCCATGCTTCCATGAATTAGGAGCTATAGCAACAAATCCCACTTCTGACACCAACTATAAACTAGTAGCAGCATAAGTTCTCTAACTTCAGGGGGGATAATGAGAATCAGCATCAGCCCAATGCTAATCTCTATGAGGTGGAAGTCAGGCATACCTCCACTCTCCAAACTTTTTACCAATTCTGACATCAGCCATCCTTCCTAAGATACTCTCTAGTTGTTTGCTTGGTTCAATGATTCATTGCAATGGCCACACAGAACTCACAGACCATATTCCCAATTATGGAGTTTATTAGAGAAGTAACAGGCTACAGTTCAGGATCAGGATCAACTTGGAGGCAACAGGAACAACTCAGAGACAGGATACAGTTCATCGATCAGGACAGCTTCCAACCAGGACAACTCTCAGCTTCTTCTTGGCTGTGCCCAAAAACCCGCCGCACTCTTGGCCTCTGTTGCTGGCCCCAGCTTGGGCCTGGGCTCTGCCACCAGGTCCCACTCAGGCAAGTGTTACAGCTCTTTTGTCTCTGCCCTTAAGTGCCTGGAGGCACCCCACTCCACTAACAAGCCTCTGCCCGATGGCATTCAGCTCTTGTTCCATGGGGGGGGGAACTCACCACAGCCATCTAGCTCCACTGCCCCTAGTGCTACTGCACTGTCTCAGGCCATCTCACACTGTCTCCAGTGTTACAGCTGTCTCCTAGGTCTAGGAGGTTCTCAGCGCAGGGACCCCAGGTCTAAAGGACATGCTCTGCTCCTGCCTCTTCTTGATTTTAGTGAGGTCCTCCTCCAACCTCTGTGGAATTGTTTCTTTTATAAGCCTACTCTTCCCACCAAGATCACAAACTGACCAATTCCCTCAGTAGGCCACAGGTACCTTATTTACATAGTAATTGACCAAACCCTGCAAAGGTTTTATATACTTCATTTGCAGAGTGAAATGTCCAATCTTCAGTAAAACTGCGGCCTAGCAAATCATCTTGGCAGAACTACAAACCCTGGCCTGAAAGGCAATATATATAAAGAGAAACCTGTTGCACTGCAGTGGGCTAGAATAAACTCTATGCTGTTGGATTGCAATTGGAGGTACTGCTGTGAACTTGTAGTTTTTAATATAATTGTATAATACATCCAAAAATAGGTAGATAGGTACATAGATAATCTCTATCTTTATGTAAAATTAAGGTCATGAAAGACAAAGACAAGCTGAGGAACTGACAGGAGACTAAAGAGACATGACTACTACATGTGACACATGATCCTGGATTGGATTCTAGATCTTTAAGAGTCATTATCGGGACAATCAGTAAAATTCAAATTAGATTGAATGATAATATTGGATTAAAGTTCATTTCCTGATCTTGATCATCATATTGTGGTTATGGAGGAGAGTAGACTTAGGAAATACACCCTGGAACATTAAGGGGTTAATGAGGAAATCAGGTATGCAATGTATTCTCAAATGGTTTAGAAATGTTAACAACTGGATGGATAATCCAGTGTTTATGGGAGCTCTGTGTACTCTTTCTGCAATTTTTACATGAATTAGAATTTCAAAATAAAAAGTTTTAAAAAATCAGATGTCATCCTCTACTAGAAATAACAGTCCACACAAACTTGTATGGGAACGTACACAGCCACTTTATTTATAGTAGCTCAACTGGAAAGACCCAAATGCCTACTCACTGATGAACAGATAAATTGTGATATATCAATATCATGGAAAACTACTTAGTGATAAAAATGAGCAAACTGCTGATAGATGCAACAATATGAATGAACCTCAAAAATACTATGTGAAAGAAGACACAAAAGACTACATACTGTATTGATTCCATTTATATGAAATTCTAGATGGAGAAAATTACACTGATAGAAAGCAAATTAGTGGGTGCCTAGGTTCTGGGGCTGGAGAGATTGACTGCAAAGGGACAAAAGGGAACTTTGGGGGGTAATGGAATGCTCTGTATCTTAATTATGATGACTACACAACTGTATACAATTATCAAATCTCATCGAATTGTTCACTTCACAGAGTTAATTTTATTTATATAAACTACAATTCAATAAAAGCCCTTGTGGTGCAGTGGTTAAGCATCTAGCTGCTAACCAGAAGGTTGATAGCTCGAATTCAGCAGCCGCCCCTTGGAAACCCTATAGGGCAGTTCTGCTGTCCCATAGGGTCGCTATGACTTGGAATTGACTCGACGGCAATTAAGTTTTTATAATTCAATAAAACTGATGTTAAGAATCCTACTAGTTCTCCATTTCACCCAGAGTATAAGCCAAAGTCTAAAACAGGGCTTCGAACCGAGTTCATTCTGGTTCTAGCCCCTGCTGAGGATGTGCATTTCCACCCCAGATATACTGAATCAGCATCTCCATTTTAACAAGATCCCCAGGCGATTCTTATGTATAAGTTTTGAGAACCACTGCTCTGCTGGTGGTTCTCAGAACTGGTCCCTAATCAGCAGCATTAGCATCACCTGGGAACTTGTTAGAAATGCAAATTATCAGCAAGGGTTCAAACTGGAATGAACTGGTTCGAAGCCCTGATCCAAAATAAACCTACACAATCCTCCAACTACTCTCCCCTGCCCTCATTCCACTCCAGCCATACTGGCCTTTCTGCTTCCTCTAATACCCAAAAACCAAACCCACTGCCATCAAGTCGATTCTGACTCATAGCAACCCCACAGGGTTTCAAAGGCTGCAAATCTCTACGGAATCAGACCACCGTATCTTTCTCCAGAGGAGCTGCTGGCGGTTTCTAACTGCCAACCTTTTGGTTAGCAGTCGATCACTCTGACCACTTCGTCACCAGGGCTCCTTTCCTCCAATACAGTACAACTCAAAGTGTGAGGACGATGAGGCTCATACTGAGGCCGGCCTGTGAAATGCTGTTTTCTGGTCTGAGACCAGGTTAGTACAAAAACTGAGATAACTGGTTAGAAAATTTAATAACAGTTGACACTGCTGCAACATCAAAGAGCATCATCCTTTTTCTAGTAATTCACTGTTACTTTATAACAGTACATGAATTTTGACACCTGGGTTAAAAAAGTTATTGAGATGAGTCAGAATCTGAACACGGTGAAGTCTTAGGAATAAACAATTATTTTGCTTTTCTCCCCTTTATGTATGCACAACAGCAATGTGCTAATAATCTATGTCTATATGAGTCTGTAAGTATACAATACAAATTCTAAGTGGTAAGGTAAAGTTTAGTTTAAAAAAATACTAAAACAGGAACACCAAAAACTGATCAGCAATGTCATTTTTTAATATGTGCTATACTTCCAGAAAACTGTCCACTTCTAAAGATATCCATGGTTCTACTAGCAGGGGACTGAATCCATAGCCTTTGGTAATAAATCAAATGCTAAAGAAAATGAGCTTTAGAAATATTTAAACATCAGTGTTTAAATCTTTCCCTGGAGGTCTTTTGATAAGAGGTTAGATATTAACCAAGCCGGTATTCTTCATGAGTAGTCTGCCTCAAGAGGGAATGAGCAAGTCTTAAAGTCAGTCACAAAATGCAGTGTTTGAAGATAGCATTTCCTGTCCATTTTCCCAGAAAACAGTAAGTAGAGTTACTCCTAAATGACCTTTTCAATCAACCACTGAACATAAAGATCCATGGAATACCTACTACCAGCAAACTATCACATTCATTTCTTTGAGGGATACAAGGATCCAATTTAGATCCTGCCGAGATCTCATTTGCTTCTAATAACCAAGACACTCACTTTTACCACTAGTACAACAGTCGTGACTAGCTTCTGTAATCTAATTCTCCGTTTCTTTTATTAAAATGGTTCAATGCTTCTGTACCATTAGCTGCTCCAAAATAAGTAACAAGAGAAAAGCATCCTATGACACAGTTTTATATGCTTTAAGATGTGTTCTAAACTAGAATAAGCATTTAATGATAGGGCAATGAGCTAATAAAACAAAACATACATAGAATACAAATAAAAGTTTATTGTACAAAATTAAGGCCTTCATATTTCACAGCTCACTAAGGCTAATGAAAGACTAGGTAATTATTTAAGTCCTCCACAAAAGTTTTACTATCCCCTCTGCTCCCAATCATAAAATGGCCTGACCAAAAGTTATCAAAACAAGCATAATAAATAAAGCCAAGTCCTTTAAAGAAGACTATTCCAAATGTTACTTCTTGGCATAGGTGATCTTCATGGCATGAGATGGCGTGATCTTAAATCCTTGTAAAGCATCCCTGGCAGCTCCAGCCTGCCCGTCATTTTCAAACTCAACAAAAGCTATGTCATGCCTCCCAGGCACCAAGCGCACTTCCTTAAAACCAGGGAACCTATAAAGAAGAGAATGCATGTATGTGTATATACGTATTTATATATACATAAATGACATCCAATACATAAATGTCTACCTTGTACTTAAATCTGTTAAGCAACTTCCTGATATAAGTCTAGGATGAAAGAGCTAGAAATGTAATTAAAACCATGAAAAGAACAGCAAGAATAATGTAAGCTAATTCTAATTTTGTCATTGTATCAATGCTTTGCTCCCTGTTTTACTTATCAATTAGAACTAGTAACTAAAAAATTAGAGAAAATTTAGCTTTTTATTTGCTAATCTGCAAACTGGCTTTAAATCACGATTAATCCCAGACCAAATCAATGAAACTGTTATACTCATCAATTAGAATTAGTAATTCAAAACTTAAGAGGTAATTTAGCTTTTTATTTGCTAAATCTGCAGACTGGCTTTAAATCACAATTAATCCCAGACCAAATCATGAAACGGTTAGGAATTACTGTGTGTGATGCATGAATGAATTCAGCCCAGGAAAGCACTATCTGTCCTGTCTGGAGGCTTGTTTATGAAAAAACTTACTGATTAAACAGCATGGATAACATCATCTCATTAGTCTCTTCTGGTAAGTTATTAAGGAATAAAATATAGTTTGGAGGGTAATCAGGGACCTATTAGAAAGAAAAAAAGGCAAAGTTAGCTTGCAGATACAAAAAAATGTATTGTGCCATTTGGCTCCTAATTAAAACCTAAACTTCAGAGAGCTATAGTCCACAGTTTAAAATGCTTGTGAAATCTTACAACACCTAACACTAAAGCTGAAAAACAAGGACCCCAGAGAAGTAAATATAAACCTAACAGTAATTAGACATTCTTCAAGTCACTTAACACAAATTAGAAGAGTACAAATCTTAATGAGGAGCCCTGGTGGCACAGTGGTTAAAACGCTTGGCTGCTAACTGAAAGGTCAGCGGTTCAAACCCACTGGCTACTCCTGGGAGAAAAATGTGGCGGTCTGTTTCTATAAAGATTTATAGCCTTGGAAACCCCATAAGTAGTTCTACCCTGTCTTATAGGGTCATTATGAGTGGGAATTGACTCGACAGCAGTGGGTTTTGGTTTTTACAAATAAATTTTAAGCATCTGGGAGTCAGTCATAATCGAGGATTATGTAATCTGGAGGATTACATAATTGAAAGATCTTAACCTGACATGAGAAGGCAGCATCATCACCCCTTCTCCACCACCCCTTCTCTGGTGGTAACACTAGATACTCCGTTACCATGCACTATTTATTGTTTACTATCTCCCAGCATATAAGAAAATTTGGAACTAATACAATCACCACTTGGTGACTTTTAATATTTGTTTTGCAAGTAAATGAGGTACACACAGCATCTAGTTACAAAGAAGTAGAAACAAACACTATTATTAGATATTAAACTACTTATTAGATAGCCCACTCTCAGGTTATAAGGAATGGGAACTATAGGGAGAGGGTTCCATATACAGGAAGAAAGCATCCCTGTCTTCAGACTAGTGTCATGAAGAGAAAACATCAAGTGTGAAGAACAATTAGTGAACAAGCTAAGACCTTACAGAATTAAGTCCTGGCTTTTGTGATCCGGACTGTAACTGCTGAGAGAGTGTAACTAAAGGAAACAGATATTGTAAGAAAGTGCAAATCACTTAAAATCAGAGGAAGAAAACCTTAGTGGTATAGAGAATTCTCTGGATTGAAGGATCTTGCCAGACTCTAGCATCCCAGCAAGCAAGTATGAAACCACTAATACATAACTGAGGCTTTCTCCTTGAGGTGTTTAGTGGGGAGATATCTGGTAAGGGGTTTCTTAAACATCAATATAAGGAGATTTAAACAACAACAGAAAAAAAGTAGAGCTGAAATAGATTTGTGCTGAGGCAGTGAGAGAATTTTCTCTAATGAGTATGTGACTCTACTAGAAGAGATAGTTTAGTGCTTCAGCCAACTGGAGTGACGACAGCTGGTTACTTTGTTACCAATGACGCCCATATGTAAAGCCTTGGGCTGAAAACAAAAATGTCTGCTCTCTGCCCTCAGAGAGTTTAAAACTTGTCATTTTGATTCTGTCACTGATTCATTACAGGAAACAAGAAATAAAGTCAGATTTTGTCTTGTCTCTCTGAAAGAAAATTAGAATACTTTGAGGAAAGGTTATGTTTTAATGTATTATGTCTTGCAGAGGGAGTTATTTTCTGTCTTTAGAGACATACACTAATCATTTATTGTTTATAATTTTAAAGTATGCACCCCATGGAAAACAGTATTACCTGAGGACTTGGTGTTGAATTTCCTTGAGTGTTAGCTGAATTTGGTGTTCCCTAAATTAAAGAAATAAGGAAACAGTTAAAATTCCCATCACCTACAAAAAAGCAGCAGGCGTCTATAATTACTAAATAAAAATAGTTAATTTCAACAGATTTCTTATTCAATTTAATTTGACTTTCTTTAAAAATTTATATCTCTGACTCAAAGATTCATGTGCTTAACTTGTCAGCTATTTTTGCAAGGTCTAGCCTTAAACGTTAAAGACTACATGATAAAATTTAACCTTAAACTTTACAATTATAGAGAAATACAAAAGAGAAAGACCAAGGACCAGTCAATCTTTCTTTCTCTCATAACTGGACAGAAGTCAAGCATTATATTTAGTGAAATTGACTTCTAATTACTTTCAATCCAGAAGTAACTACTTCTTAAATGATAATTTCATTTTTTATCTAGTAATACAAATTAGATTTTGCAATCCTAAAACATTCAAAGAAAGAAGCTTAAGTAGAGTACTCACAATTAAAGATAATATCTAAGGTATTATTTTATATGCAGCAGAACATGAGAACAAAGCCAACAGACATTAACATATTTTGGAGACGAATGGAATTTAATGTCTGCAAATTCAAATGAACCTGTTCAATATAAATTTGCATATGTAAAGGTATATATTTTAATTTGTTGCTTAAACATAAATACTAGAATTTTAAAAGTCAACCATTCTAGCTTCTTAAAAATCCACCTATTAAACACACAAATATATGCAAAGATCATCGCTCATGGGAGACAGATATACCCAACAAATTTATAACACCAAAAAAATTAATTTTTTGCCATCTTACCTGACCAGGCTTTTTGTTTGTGGTTGCTGCAGTCTGTTCCACAGTTTTGGCTTTTTTCTTTTCTTTTTTCTTTTCCTTGTCAGCAAAAGTGCCACGCATTTTAGATATTATATCAGAATCTGTTTTTGCATACTGGATTCGCTGTTTGAATTATTTGAAAAACAGGTTACTTTTCATTACAGTGAAGACTGTTTACACTAGTCATTAATATTTCAAATTTCATTATGAAAGTACATGGGGAGCTAATTTTCAACACACCCCTAAGGAAATCTGTCAAAACATACTGAATGCCAAATGAAAATAAATTGTGGCTTATGATTCACAACTCATAGGGTCGCTATGAGTCGGAATGGACTCGATGGCAATGGGTTTTCAACGGGGTATGATTCACAACTTAGACAAAGAGTTCAAATGTATTTATGAGAAGAAACACCATACACTTTCACATGAGAAAAACAGGACTTTAAAATATCTCTACCACTTCCTCTTTCCATTCAATAAAAGAAGACAATTTTCTGTATTGGAAAATTGTTCGTCCCTAGCAGTGACACTCAATGGAAGGATCAAGAGGTGTCAATCAGCTGTGGAATATGTCATGCGGAATGCGTTACCTCCACTGGGTAAGGTACCAAAGATTAGGAATGCCTTTCTTTTGGATCTAATTTTTTAAAATGATGACACCACTTTACATTTTAAAATGTTTTGAAAGGAAATAAAAGGACTGCACCACAGTGAATATAGCAGGTCCTTTGCTTATTTTTACTATGCCACAGCCAGCAAGAATAAGATGCACCTGCAAGACAGTGGAAATGTGTTGAAAACCACTGCTGTAGGAAAGCATTTCATAAACTACAATGTGCATTCTAATTAACCTGAGATCTTGTAAACGTGCAGATTCTTACACAGTAGGTCTGGGGGAGGCCTGAGATTCTACATTTCTAACAAGCTCTCAGGGGATGGTGATGCTGCTGGTCTGGGGACCACACTTTGAGTTACAAGGCCTGACCTAAAGCATTATCACACAGCTATACCAATTAACACCAATTAACAGGCAAATATTTTTGCCATGAGTTAAACTGTTTTCTACAATGGGCCTTTTTACAATCTGCAACTTCCCTTCCAAGCAAGCATTTCTTCCCTGGAGCTGATATGTCTCTGATCATATCCTACCTATCTAAAATTGCCTTATATAGCAAGAATTTAGTCTTGGCCTGAAGATAACAAGTGACATTTTAAAGTAGTGTGGGTTAGAAAGCAGAAACTTTGTCAAAACCAAGAGCGACTGTTTCCTTCAGCTACAGATAAATTTACTGGAGGAAACGAGACGGGAGCAGATCCACCCCCACACCTCAGTACCCAAGGCTTTCTCTGGCTGGTTTGGGCTGCTGTATACAGCAGCCCCAAATGTACTTAAACCTGCAAGCAGCTTTACAAGTCTTCTGTGTCGACATCTAAACAAAAGCAGATGGGCTGACTGCTGAAAGACCTATTATTTTACAGGATGTTAGGAGAATAAAATTCAGAGGTCTTCTATACAAGGGGAGTATAGTGATCCATAAAATGGTAGAACTGAAATGGGTATCTAGCTTAAACTAACTTTTGACTAGGTCCCAAGGATTCTCTCCCCACTCCCTTGGGTCTTCAACCTTGTCCCAGGTCTGAACAGATCTTGGGTGGTCTGTTCTGTGTTTATAACAACTTAAGCCTGTATCTGTCATTATGACTCAGTCCCCTGTGAAAATCTCTGATCTCAGCCACAGCTCTTGGCTGTCTAGAGCAGTGGTTCTCAACAAGGGGCGACTGTGGCCGTCAGGAGACACTGCTGGTTGTTACCTCTACCGGAAGTGCTAGTGGCATCTAGTAGGGAGAGGCCAGGGATGCTGTCAAACACCCTACAAATCACAGGATAGCATCCCTTCCCCATAACAAAGAATCATCTGGCTCAGAATGTCAAAGGTGCTAAGGCTGAGAAATCCTGGTCTAGACTGAACACCATAAGGAATAAAAGTCACCCACATCTTAAAGGCAGAGAAGGGGCAAGATTTACATTTATACCAAAGGTTTCATGAGAGAAGTCCTTAGAAGAAGGTTTTACTTTACTGAGGTATTTTTGGCATGAAGTAATCAAATGTTCTTGAATCACAGAGAATAATTTTGTTGTGAGTTCCAAGTTATAGCAAATTTTGTTCACTTCTGATCTCGTATGTTAGAGTTCAAACAGAAGAGCTATGAGTCGGAATCGACCCGACAGCAACAGGTTTAGTTTTTTTTTTAAACGCAAACGAATCAGCTCAAAGAACACCATTCCCTCTCTGCCAGGATGCTGGGGATATGGCAGTTCTTGCCATCTTCCCGAAGGCAAAGAACAGCCCTCCCCAAAACGCCTTCAATATAAAAGCAGTTTAATGGATTTTTTCCATCGGTTTAAAAGAAAAATTCGTTGGCAAAGTGAAGCTGGTGCAAAACACAGCAAACTATTTCTAGCTTTCCTGTATCTGAATAACAGGCACAAGCAGACTTGTCATCTCAACAAGTCTTAAAACTCTCGGCAGGAAAAAATTGCTCCTTCACATTTATGTAATTTCAGATTCAAACTAAAACCCAGTCTTAAATGCTCCTGCCAACTGAAATCTCAATTATTTCTTCAAACTACTAAGAATGATCAGCTAGTCTGAGGAAATGGCAATTTACTGAAAATTAGGGTATGTTGGTACCACTCCAGTTTTCTGGGACGGGCTGTTCCACACAGTGGCCAGTCAGCTGGGAAGTAATGGAATAGGGAGAGCTGGAGAGAGGATGAGAGGAAGGCTTGCTCCACTGATCGACAAAAAGTGCTCAGTCCTGAGTTAAAAGGTGTGGTATAGAGCAGGGTTCACCACATTACAGTCAGCAGCCAATGCTGTACATTTTTGTAGGTAAAGTTTTACTGAAGCATAGTGACATCCATTCACTTACGTTCTGTCTATGCCTGCTTTCCATGCTCTAAAGGAAAAGTTGAGTAGTTGCAACAGAGATCATCTGGACTGCAAAGCTTAAATATTTACTATCTGGCCCTTTACAAAAAGCTTGCTGACCCCTGCTATTCTTTTTTTTTTTACATTTTTTTTTTAATTGTACTTTAGATGAAGGTTTACTGAGCAAACAAGTTTCTTATTAAACATTAATACACATATTGTTTTGTGACACTAGTTACCAGCCCCACAAAATGTCAACACTCTCCCCTTCTCTCGACCTTGGGTTCTCATTGCCAGCTTTCCTGTCCCCTCTTGCCTTCTTGTTCTTGCCCCTGGGCTGGTGTGTCCATTTAGTCTCATTGTGTTTTATGGGCCTGTCTAATCTTTGGCTGAAGGGTGAACCTCAGGAGTGACTTCATTACTGAGGGGGCCACACTCTTGGGGTTTGTCCAGTCTCTGTCAGACCAGTAAGTCTGACCCCTGCTACTCTTGTTGTAAGTTGCCATCGAGTCGATTCCAACTCATGGTGACACCATGTGTGTCAGAGTAGAACTGTGCTCCATCAGATTTCCAAGGCTGTAACCTTTCAGAAGCAGATCACCAGACCTTACTTCCGAGGTGCCTCTGGGTGGATGTCAACCACCAGACTTCTGGTTAATAGGTCAGTGCTTAACCATTTGCGCCACCCAGGGACACCTACTGACCACCTGTTGTTGTTAGTTGCCAATGAGTCAATTCCGACTCATAATATAGAAAGAAAAAAAAATCATGAAAATGGGTGTTACATTAGCTTTCAGGTACTCAGCCAGATGCTGGTTATATTAATATAACTTGGTTAAGCAATTAGCCTTTCTGTGCCCAACTGCTCATCTGTAAAATGAAGGAGTTAGGCCAGTGTTCTGCAAGCTACATCCTATAGGCCAAATCCAGTCTGGTTCTCTATGGCTTATGAGTTAAGAATGATTTTTTTTTTTTTTAACAATTTTAAAGAAGAGTTGTTAAAAAAAACAAACAGTGAAAATATGATTAATTACCCGGCCCTTTACACACAGTGTTTGCTGACCCTAGGATGATACGAAAGAATGCCCAACTTCCTTACATTTTAGAGTTGGTGAAACTGACCAAGGGCACAGAGCCAGTAAATGGCAGAACCAGTATGAGGACTCAGTGGGCCTTGACTCTCAAAACCAGGTCACTTCACACTCCAATCCCAGAGGAAAGGCACTTTGGAGTTCATACCCAAGGTCCTGTGCGCTCTGCTGGCTGCTGGGAGGGCCTCTTGCCTTACACCCTGTCTCCACCCTAACCCAACTCTCTATCATCTCTAAGGGCCTCCTGGCTGCCTTCCCTACTCCTCCTCTGACCCTGCCACAATTCCAGTCTTCATCTAACCAGACAAGAATCTCATTAGGTCAATCCCAGCTTAAAATTTTCCAGGCATAACTATTTCATTTCTAGTCACCATTAATCATTAATAAAGCCTATGAATTTAAAACTATGAATTTTCCTTTGATCATTATTTTATCTAAACTGCAGAACTTCTGATATGTAGTATTTCACTATAGTATTTTCTGGAATTTCAAATTGGATTTCCTATTTGATTCATGATTTTTATTTTGTTTTGACACATACTTGTTTTTTATAAATTTACAGACAAGTTTCTTTTAATTTTCTAGGTTATTACTATTATTTTGAATAATATTGTGTTTTTGGTGAAAGTTCACACAGCAAGTTAGCCTCCATTTGACAATTTGCACACAACCTGTGTAGTGACATTAGTTACATTTTTCACAGTTTCTCAACATTTTGTTTAACTGCATTCTGATTATTTCATTTCCAGTGCTCGTTTCCCTGCCCCTTATCGTCTCATCTTTGCTATACAGTAAACCTTGACCTTTTGGTCTCGTACAGATGGTTTTTTACTAGAGCACCATCCTTACGGGTAATATCCTTTATTTTGTGTGCCACTCACTTATTTCGCTAAAAGGTGACCTCAGGGAATAGTTTCGGTTCAAGGTGTAAAGAGTGTCTCAAGGCGACAGTCTTGGGGAGTCCCAGTGAAGGAGCCCTGGTGGCGCAATGGTTAACTGCTTGGCTGGTAACCAAAAGGTCAGTGGTTCAAACTCACAAGTGGCTTCATGGTAGAAAAGACCTGGCGATCTGCTCCCGTAAAGATTACAGCCTAGGAAACCCTGTGGGGCAGTTCTACTCTGTCATATCGGATGGCTATGAGTCAGTATCAGTTCAAAGGCACGTAACAACAACATACCCCCATGTATGTTATTTTTTGGCCATTTGAACTGTTACAATTGAGAACTGAATTACACTCTACTACCAATGTGTTTCTACAAAAACAAATAAAATAAACCCAAACTCCCTTCCGTTTCCTCAAAGCCACCTCCCCACCCCCATGCTCCAAATACTCAAGCAACACCAGCCCTTGTTCAGTATCTCAAAACACTAAACTCTTTCCCTTTTTGAGGCCTTTCCATTGCTTTTCTCTCTGCAAGTGTTTCCTCTTCATCCTTCAGGTCTCAGCTTAAACTCTCCTCCAGAAAGCCCTTCCCTGACCAGTGTCTCTAAGTAGTAACCCTCCCTATACCAGCCAGTCATCCTCCATCACATCACCCTGTTATCTCCTTCACAGCACTTACCAGAACTAGGACCCCACTCCTCATGAGGGCTCAGCACACCCGAGTCAGATATGGGCCATATACAGCAGTGGTTGAGAACTGACTCCGAAGCCAGACTGCCTGGGTTAGAATCCCATGGCTGCCACTGAGTGACAAGGTACCTTCTGCTCTACTATCCTCATGGGTAAAATGGAGGCAGTAATAGTACAACAGTAGCTGTGATGTTTAATATAAGTAAAATGCCTAGAATATTTCTGAATACACAACACTCAGGAAATGCCAGCTACCACATCTGGTTTGCTTGCTCCTTTGCCCATCTCCTCCACCGGGATACAAGCTCCACATTCATATTCAGGCCTCTTATTCAATGCAACTAAGCTCACTTAAGAAAATCACAGCTTTTAGGAAGTATGCCTCCAACACAGAGAAGTAAAAAGCAGAAAGCAATAGCCAAACTTTCAAGTATACATTTATAAATCTGCCATACCACAACAGTGACTAAATCCAAAATAAGAAGATTGACTTACCATTGGTTTGCCATAAAATGGAAATCCTTGTAACTGTCTCAAGGCATTTGTGGATGAGCCCAGTTCTTTAAATATAACAAAGGCCTGTCCCCTCATCTTCATAGTCTTTAAAGCCACAATATCTACCACGTGGCCAAACTGAGAAAACAGGGCGTATAAGGATCGCTTCAATTCTGTGTAAAATTAGAGTAGAAACAAGTTATCTATGAATGAAACAGTGACGGAAGTTTTCATAAAACGACTGCGTTGAGTGTCTCCTCACTACACACACACAATTACATATTTCAATAAAAATATCATACTATTTCTGTTGGCTACATAATTTAAAAAGTTATTTGAAACCACAGTATCTGTATGAGTGAAAACAGACTCTGCACAGTGTCAGTCCCTACCTACTTTTATTTTATTTAAAAAGCCTTAAAATCCTCACACAAAAAGGGGCAAACCATTATTATAGGCACTAAGAAACGAGAGAAGTTCTGGAGCAGTGCAATTTTTTTAAGATAGTACTAGTTAAACACACTTTAGTTGCAAACCAATATGTACTTGTTAAAAGCACTTACCTTCTTTTTTAATTTTGTCATTCATATTGTTGATATAAATTGTATGATTTGGTCTGATATCCATGTTTTAGGTTAACTTGTTCCAACAGCCTAAAGAGAAAGTTATATTCTGTTATAAGCAGGGAGAATTAAATCATAGCACAGTGTGGCATAGGGATACAACACAAGGGTTATTATTTTTTCAATTCTCTATCAAGCCTGACTCCAAGAAAATGTCAGTTCAGCAGTAGTCTTTAATGCCTGTCCAATACTTGCTAGTTTTCCTTTTTAAACAAAAGAAGAGTTCTCAGGTTCAAAACTTTGGTCAAGTACCAGTAATTAGCCAGAATTTAATAGCACTATTTTATTCAATGCACTTATTTTTATATTTACCTTTCACTTATGATAAGTGATACTGTTTTTCCATTTACCTACTGAAATAACTTTTTATTAATGAAATTATTGAAAAACTGCATAGAGCTGAAGAAAAATGAAAAAGATACTAGCAAAGGTATATCCACTAAAAATCATTAAGATAGAACATTAATGAAGTTTGCCAAGCACTACTTCATGGCAACATTTAAGAAGCACTTTGACACCTATTACTTAATTGATACACATCACCTCACATGTCCCGACTCCAGGGTTATCACTAACCAATGTGAAAGAATGGAGCCCAGACAAAGCACTACAGTATCACATGATGATTAGAAACTCAGACCCTAGTACCAGGCAGACCTAAATTCAAATCCTGGCTATGCTCTTTACTAGCTGCTGACTGAGGGGAGCCACTTTCTCAAGCTTCAGGGTCCACATCTGTAAAATGGGGATGAAGGTCGCCATGAGTCGAAGCCAAATCCACAACAACTAACTACAATACCTACCCAAGAGAACTCAGAAGGCCAAAGGAGATAAAATCCAACAGCAGTAAGCCCTCAAAGTAGCTATTCTTAACAGCTACGACAGGTTAAGGACTTCCTGGGTGGTTCAAACACTTAACATGCTTGGCAGCTAACTAAAAGACTGAAGTTCACCCAGAGGCACCTTGGAAGAGAGGCCTGGAGACCTACTTCTGAAAAATCAGTCACTGAAAACCCAACAGAGAACAGTTCTACTCTGACACACACAGGTCGTCTGGAGTCAGAATCTACCGGAGGGCAACTGGTTTCTTATAGGTTAAGGTCTTTGCCTAAGGTCACATGGCACAGGCCTTGTATTTTCTCTTGCTCCTCTTTCACACTACCACACTGTTTCACTATATGCATAGTTTTTTATTGGCCAATTGTGAACTTGCTTTATCTCCTTGGGTAATCTCACATACTCCTTCACTTCACAAATATCTACGGGGCACCCCTTGTACGTGAACAGCACAGGATCACTGACAAACGAAGCAGTACTTATGCGGGTAACAGGTAAACAGTAACGCTACTACTGGAACTTGCTTTAGCCGCAATCTGAAGGAGTAGGGATGAGGTCGCAAAGGAGAAGCGGGAAGTGACAGAAACAGGTCAAACGGAAAGCGGGGAGACCGAACAGAAGGCTCTTACAACATCTCATGTGCGGTGTGATGGAAGCCTGGACGAGTACAGAGGTTCCCAAAGTCGCCGGAAAACAAGTGAAAGCTCAATAGCGAATTGTAAACACTTCGCACAAGCAAAGGAGCACTGTTTCTGTGCCGTGGAGTCGATTCCGACCCATAGCGACCGTACTGGACAACGGAGAACTGCCCCATAGGATTTCCTAGGCTGTAATCTTTACGAGAAGGAACCCAAGCGGTGCAGTGGTTAAGCGCTCAGCTGCTAACCGAAAGGTCGGCGGTTCGAACCCACCAGCAGCTCCACGGGAGAAAGATGCGGCGGCCGGCTTCCTAAAGATTTACAGCCTTGGAAACCCAAGGAGGCAATTCTACCCTGTCCTATAGGCTCGCTATGAGTCAGAATCGACTCCACGGCACACAACAACAATCTTTACGGGAGCAGATCTCCAGGTCTTTTTTCCCAGGGAGCTGCTGGTAGGTTCCAACAGCCGACCTTTCGGTTAGCAGCAGCCGAGTGCTTAACCACTGCGCCACCAGGACTCCTTAAGGAGTACAGTAGGCATTAGTTATTTATTTGGTAGGCACAAGTCTGGCGTCCCTCCAGACAGCACTCCCGACACAGGAATACATGCCCAAGGCCTCGGCCGGAAGCCCACAGGCGCGCGATCCCGGTCCTATCCAGTCCGGCTAGAGACAATGCTCCTAAGATCCGAGGCCTCCCTGGGCCAGCGCGTCAGTCAGTCCATCGCTGACCCCTCCGCGAACGCTCGGCCGGATCTGCTCGGCCCCACCATCGCGCCTCATCCTCTCCGGGTTCCGACAGGAGACAAATCGGGCAAAGAAGCCCTGAGAACCGAAATAGCCAGACAGCAAGAGCTCTAACCCACCTTAGGCCTTCTCCGGTTTGAATCGAAAGCCGGAAACAGAGCCAGACACCGGAAGCAGCGCTACCACGCGCCTTAATAGAGCGCCGGCAAGTCGAGAAGTCGAGCACAGAGTCGATCGATGCCGGGCGGCGACTGCTGGGAATCTCTCGGCGCTTGCTCGTATCTGGTGGGCGGGGAGAAGGGGCGGGAAAGGGGAGTAAGGAAAGGGGGTAGTTTTGTAGGGACTGTGCAGTGTTAAACAGAAATCCTGGGACCAAAGAGTGAGGGGATAACGGAAGGGGATTCACTCATTCTCCCCCCCCTCCCGCCCCAACAACGACCTTGAGCTAAAACCACACACTGGTGTCTTCCAGCTCCCCAGATGCCACATAATTTTACAGGCGCAGCCCCTCATGCTGACTGGGGCAGGTGCCATGGTCTTCCCTTTTCTGGGTCTGGTGGCCCCAGGTTTAACATATCTTTAGGTCAGCTGGTACTCCCCAAGTTGCCTTTGATTCCTGGGACTCTGAGGGAACTCTCCTCCAGCATTCTACCGATGAGCTTGAATCTCAGAGGCAGCCCAGTTTGAGTGAATTGATGTCTCTCTCTGGTCATCTCACCAGTTATGATAACCACATTTGAGTTGTAACCAAAACCCATAAGATCATCTCTCTAAACTCACTCAAAAAACGGTAATTCATTACTACTCTTCCCACCCTCTCCCCACCCCACCAAAATACCTAGATTTTTTCTTGAGTAATTCAAGCAGTTGGTGTTTATGCTAAGCCGAATAGGAATTCAAAAACAAAAATGCATTCATTAATGCATCCGTTCAACAAATATGTGTTAAGTATCAGCTACTGAAATATGAAATGGCTGTTATGAGCCAAGGTTGGGAAATCTAATCTCCTATCTCCCAGAACCTTACTTTCCTCATTTGTAAAAGGGGTCACAATAGTAACGCCTCTGGAATTATTGTGAGGGTTAAATGAGCTAAGTGTAAAACCATTAGTACATTTCCAGGTACAAAATAAATGGTTCACAAATGTTATTTGTTAAATGCTGGCTATGACTTGGACATACGGTTTTATCAGCTGGGGATTTTTATTTCAAAAGGGCACCTAAAGTCTGTAAGAACAAAAATTCTATTAAGCAATAATAGAAACTGATTGAAGTTTATTTAATATACAATTTGCAAATTGTGGTAACATTTCAACTAGGGAGTCAAAAATGTTCCCAAGAGGAAAGAACTTCCAGAGATTCTTATACCCCATCTTATCGACGTTGCCATGGAAAATGGGCCAAAACAAACTGAAAAAAAAAAAAAAAAAATTATGGTCAGAAAGGAATTCATATAGCGTTGTCTTGAAGAATAATTGAAATAATTACTGATTTACCCTGAAACATAGCTCTAGTCTGACCTTTGGAGTTTCTGTTTCTTGAAACTGACTGCATGTAAATAATTCTTCAAAAGAACACAATGTCTAAGGCAAAACGATCTTTACTAAGCTGTTTACTAGGCTATTGTTTGGCTTAAAGGTGACTTTAAGAAACCAGTTTCCTCAAGGTTCAAAAGAACATCTCAGGGCAATGGCCTGGCTGGGTCACTCCACCTCCATGAGGCCAGAAATCTGGATTACAGGAGAATTAAAACTTCATTTCTCAAGTCACAACAACATGGAAATGATTAGTCAGATATGAAATAATCTCCACTGGAATGTAAGCTTCTCAAGGGTGAAGATTTTTGTCTGTTTTGTTCACTCAAGTAGCCTCAGTAACTAGAAAAGTGGCCATATGAATTAATGAAATTTGATGGAAAATTGAGCAAACACTAAAACAAATGTAAAGTCTTATGAGGATGCACATAAGTGTTGGAAATAATGTTAAACAATCACATAAAAATATTCTTTTGTTATATAGATACTCAAATTAGAAGAAATGTAAATAGTCCTATCTCAGGTAAAGACTTATGGTGTATCCCTAACAAATTAAAAAAGAATATATAATATAAAAAAAATTAACAAAGAACAAGTTGCCCTGTACTTTAGTATGGGCATCTGAGCAATTAATTATTCAGAATTCTATTTGATGATAATGAGGATGGTTGTCTTAGGCTGGGTTCTCTAGAGAAGCAAAACCAGTAAAGCATATAAATATATATAAAGAGAGGGAGATTTGTATCAAGGAAATGGCTCATGTGGTTGTATAGGCTATAACATCCCAAGTCCATGGGTCAGGAAAGAGGCTTCTGATTCACGTAGTCAGCAACGGGGCTGGCAAACCCAAGATCAGCAGGCTGGAGAGCAGAGCTGTTGTTCACAGGCTGTGAAGACTGACGAATCCCAAGATCAGCAGGCAAGTCTGCAGGTAAGCTGCTAGCTCAAGTCCCAAGAACTGGAGGTCAGACGAACAGGAGCCAGCTGCAGGATCCAGATAGAGCAAAAGCACCTGAGCCCTGCCTGAATATCCACCTAAACTAGATGCAGGCCACATGCCCAAGGAAACTCCCCTTCAACTGATTGGCTACTCACAGCAGATTCCATCATGGGGGTGATCATGTATCACATCTCAACAGAGAAGTGATCCCATTATACAACTGCCAAAACACTGAGAATCATGGCCCAGTCAAGTTGACGTACAATCTTAACCATCACAGTCCACCCCTTGTCAACTTAGCATTGGTACATATCTCCTTAAACCATACATTATCTCTGAAAAAAGACAATTATAAAGTCATACTTGGGGCTAACATGATACAATGAACACACATACAACCAAAAATGCAGTAGCCCTGTTTATGTCTTATATAAGTGAAGAAAACAAAAATATTTGATGCACACATACAAACCAGAAATACTCATAATAATTGCAGTCCTCATTTCTGCAACTGGTCATGCAGCTTTAACTGGTATTTTAGAACTACCTTCTTCACCACCCATTCTGTATTCCCTTTGCCCTCAGCAAGCACCTCAGCTGGTCGTGATTCTTTGCCTGGTGGGATGACCCAAACGCTCATTCCTGAAGGGTCTGGGCCATCAAGTAGTCATGTCAGAATTGGGTTGCTGTAGTTTTCCATTGACTTTAATCACAGGGCATGGTAGTACTCAGAGACGCCCTAAAGGATATTCTGCATTCCAGACATATACTCTTCTTTACCTCCATTATGTAATAGCAATGTGATTGATCCATACTGGCTGATCAATCACATCAGCCAGTATGGTAACTCCCTTCTTTGCCTGTTGATCCAGAGACATAAGGAGCCCAAAATGGCCAGGTGACATTCTTAGCTTCCAGTTCAATGGAATCAGTGATGAGTCTCTAGATGGGCACATTCCTCCCTTTGGAACCTCTAGACGTGCAGAGCATAATGTCACAGGGACAGGAGGCAAAAATCTTGCAAGTGGGTCACTAGGGGTAATAGTGAGTGATGCCACTCCCATTTCCACCCCTTGATTCCGGGACCCATGAATATTGGTTATGGGAAATAAAGCACCATATATTGGATGCTGGTTTAAAGCATATACAGCCTCCTGGAGAACACTGCCCCAACACTGCAAGGTATTGCCACCTAGCTGGCATCGTAATTGTGTCTATAGGAGGCCATTCCTTTGTCCTGTTAAGCCAGCTGCTTCAAGATGATGGGGAATATGATAAGACCAGTGAATTCCATGAGCACCGGTCCACTGCTGCGCTTCATTTTCTGTGAAGTGAGTCCCTTGATCTGAGGCAATGCGGTGTGGGATACCATGATGGTGGATAAGGCATTCTGTAAGTCCACACACGGATGGTAGTTTTGGCAGAAGCATTGTGTTCAGGGAAGGCAAATCCATACCCAGAGTGTCTATTCCAGTAAGGACAAAATGCTGCCCTTTCCATGATGGAAGTGGTCCAATGTAATCAACTTGCCACCAGGTTGCTGGCTGATCACATCAAGGGATGGTGCAATATTGGGGACTCAGTGTTGGTCTCTGCTGCTGAAAGATTGGGCACTCAGCACTGGCTGTAGCCAAGTCGGCCTTAGTGAGTGGAAGTACATGTTGCTAGGCCTATACATAACCTCCCTCCCTGCCACCATGGCCACTTTGTTCATGAGCCCATTGAGCAATGACAAGAGTAGCTGAGGAAAGAGGATGAGTGGTTTCCACAGAATGCGTCATCCTATCCACTTGATTGTTAAAATCCTCCTCTGCTGAGGTCACCCTTTGGTTAGCATTCACATGAGACACAAATATCTTCACTTCTTTGGCCCATTCAGAGAGGTCTATCCGTACACTTCTTCCCCATAAATCCTTGTCTTCAATTTTCCAATCATGTTCCT